CACACACACACACACACACACACACACACACACACACACACACACACACTTTCTTTGGACGAGAAAACAAACTACAGCACAAGCAGACATAAAACAGTCCACATTTGATTTACTTTATTTAATTTACTTAATATGGATGATTTTGGCCTATTTACATTGAAGCACTATAGGTTAAGTTACTGCAATGAAGGAACAGTTTCTTTAAAGCTGGCTGTGCCAGAGAGGCACTTTGATACAGAAAAAGTACCACCTTTAAAACAGTGCCTGCTGTTCAAATGTCTGCTAATCAAAAACATTTTAGCTTTACCAAAAAACGTCACCTAGGCTATTTTTGTTTAACCCTCACAAAGTTGGGATTGTATTTTTTTATTGTAAACTCTCTGATTTCCTGTAGGATACACACAGTGCATTTTATTTCTGTAGTGGGCAAATGCCCATTTTACACAAAGTGCCTGATTTAATGGACTGTATTTTTATCACATCAGAGGGATATCTTTGTTTATGCCAATCCTTTTATCAACAGCTCAGCATGTCTTGTTGGTGCAGGCATGAAGCTTCTGTTTATGTCTTTGTTTCAGCCAAATGGAGGTTCAAACACCTACCGCAGATGGCAAACTCATGGCATGGGCAGCCAAACAAAATAATTTGTTGTGCGTATAAAACAGATAGGTTGTGGTTTGTGGTTTGGGATTTGTCTGTTTATTCATTCTAAAAAAAGATTTTTTTTTCCCCCTCAGTGTTGTGTGTCCTTGGGAAAGGTCGTTAAGATTGTCCTGAGGACAAAAAAAGAAGAAATTCATGGGGCCGGTGACCTCATGCCAGGTATACACCCGAGGGAATAGTAAACTATGTCTCGCCAGTTGACTCACATCCCCAAACAGGGCACGATAACATCAAGGTTCATGTTTGAGCCTTTCAGTCAATGCCACAGCCTGAGGGAGTTGTGAAAAAAACTATTAGTTAGAACAAGTAAAACACAAAACGTTGCCAGTTTAATGTGTATGATTTTTATTTTTTGTAATTTAGCTATAAATTATATAATTTAAAGACACAAAATACTTTAAACAACAGGCTCTTTTAGTTTGTTTTAAAGTGACACATGCATGTAGAGTACTTTGCCAGATAACACACAAAAAATGTAAATAATATGGCATGTGAAGGATTACTCAATCAATTGAATATACTGTATATAGTATATATAATACTTACTTTAGTCCTCAACATAGAAGGAATTTTCAAACAAAACTGGTTCATCTCAAGAATAAAATATTCTGCCATACGTCGAGTGTTTGGGTTTTTATATGCAGTACTGTGCTGCAAGTAGTCCAAAACCCTTAGGGAAAACTGAAAAATTGCCCCAAAAGCATCAAACATAACACAAGACAGCCAGACTCACAGACTGGTACAGTATAGTGCAGYTGCATCTAAATGATGTGTTTCACAAATTTTAGACAGTAAAGGCAAATCCCATTACTTGCATTTATACAAACCACTACAGAATGAGGCACTATTCAAATATGCCAACATATCATCAATTGTTGTTGGCTTGTTTTACAAAAACAGACACCACCCTTTGTTTACAGTGTGCCCCTAAAAAATCCTACATTAGAAGATTCAGATAGCACCATCACTATCCCCTTCCATTGTATCACAAAAAAGAGAAAATGTTTCAACTCAGCTTAAACAGACATGTTTGGGGTAGAAGTGCATTTCAATCAGAAAACAAACACAATTTAAAATTGTTGTAGAGCATGTAAAGCATACATGTCAACCTCTTTGGACGTTTACCTGCATAAAGTATAAAAATCTGTACAACTCGCACGGCGGGGGGGGGGTTGTCAGTCGGTTGCGGACATGAAAGCGCCTGCTGCGAAGCAGGAGGAGAGGACAGCGGAAAAATCTCAAAACTTATTTCTACCGGCAGAACAGGTTGAAAGCTGGCTATTTCATGTTATTTGTTGTTTTTTAAATCATCCTACAGGTTCTGACATGCTAGATAAATTTGAAAATGAGGTTTTCAAAAAAATTCACAAGACTTGAAAAAATCCGTAAGGTTGCTCTATACGTCCGTATTCCTGCAAAATGACGTAAAATCCTTATATCTTACGGACAATCCATACAAGCTGACATGTATGGTAAAGCACTTTGAATGGTCTTGTTTCCAAAATGGGCTATATAAACTTGCCTTACCTTTAACAAGTCACATCTAGTGCAGGTCAAATTGCTACACGTTACATCTTGATTGTGGCTCTCGCTTCATAAAGGATTGCTAAGTGATTAAAAAACCCACAGGTGACAAGAACCTTAATGAGCCACATGATGGTCAGGTGGGTAATGGACAGGATTTCATGGCTCTAATTACCCCACAAGACATTGAAGGAGTGATTTACAACCACAGGAAATGTTGTTACTGTTCAAGCTGTACTGTAAAAGCACATACATGTCAATCTCTCTCTCTCTCTCTCTCTCTCTCTCTCTCTCTCTCTCTCTCTCTCTCT